TTTTTTTACAGTCTATGATCTAGTGCGGTAAATGTATAGAATAGCGTGGCGACTGTTATATGGTTGTCAACGAATGGGATGCTACATTTTATTCAAAATACGTTGGTTCTTAATTAAATATCTTCAAAACTTTTTGGCCTTAAGATTTTCCCAAGAAATAGGCAAGAACAAACCTGATGTCCTCCATGATTCCTATTCTTCCCAACAACAAAGCACTAAAATGCAAAAAAAAAATCAATTCTAATTTAAAAATTGGGCAGTAGGAAATTTCCAGTAACATGTGAAGGCAGCATAACCTCTGCAGGAAAGTGACCCTTCAGGAGCAGAATTGGACACTGGTTTACAGCAAAGACTGTATGTCTGAAAGTACCAAGAGTGTCGTACAGATAACAAATAATTATCACAGTGCAGATCTTTGTGCAAACGCAAGTTGATATCTTTCTCCATCAGTTTCATGTGTTGGAGTTTCCTCAACTTTTGTTTGTCTGCATAATCCACGGGTGTCTAATCCTGCTCCTAGAGGCCCAGTGACCTGCAGAGTTTAGCTCCAACTTTAATAAAACACATCTGAACCAGCTAATCAAGGTCTTTAGGCTCACTAGAAACTTCCAGGCATATGTGTTAGAACTGGTTGCAGCTAAACTCTGCAGGACATTGGCCCTCCAGGAGCAGGATTGAACACCACTGTCCTAATCAAACATCCCTGATTCAACTCGTCAGTTTGTTATTACAGACTCCAAGACCTGAAATGGGTGGGTCAGATGAGAGAAACATACAAAATGTGTGCTGTTTGGGGTTCTACAGGACATGGGATGGGAACCACTGATGTGGACCAACTTTCGGGGAAGGAGTGTTTCTCTCCTGTTTTATTCAGGCTTGTTTTTAGATGGTGCAGTTGTTCCATCTTGGAACAAGACTTCCACCAGACTTGTTCTGTCAAGAGTCCCTTTGGCCAAGATCAGGCCTTCGACTCTTGTGAGTCCCACTAGGTCCATTTCAGGTTTCAGTCAGCTGGAGTGGCTCTCATATCTCTACCGTACTGCTTGAAGTGCGAGTGATACTGAAGCTCGGGAAGCATCATCCGAACACAAAACCCCTGATCCTGCAGCGACAGGTTCCCTCGCACCTCGTATCCCATGATAGTGGCCGTCTCCGTCTGCCATGGGCGGAGCAAGTCCTCCAGCTCTCCCGGCGGAACCTCAGCCCTGGACACGCATTTCTGTTGTATTTTCTCTGTAGAGGCCCTGAGCCGCGCCGCCTCCGCTTTCAACCTCTCCAACCCGAACTGAGCCGCCTTCTCCCAGAACACCTGCACGAAGAAGTCGTACAGCAGTGTGTCCAGCATGTTCCATGATCGCACTTTCTCCCGCATGTTCTCGTCCAGCTCCATCACACAGTTGCCAGCGCGAGCGTTAAGCCGAAGGTAAGCCACATCCGCGTGCTCCAGTCCGAGAAGAGCTCCCAGGAGAACCAGGGACTCGTCGAAGTGCTCTGCGATCATCACCAAGTGAAACGCTTCCTCCAGCTGAGCCAAGTCCTCCGGCCAGGAGCCGTTCCACTTCTGGTTGTTGAGCCCCATGTCAAAGCTCATTGGGTTCTTGGCAAGACCATTCCCAGGTTCCTTCGGGTCCCAAAAGGTTTCTGGAGAGTCCAGGAACACGGAGAGTGCAGATTTGCCTTTGTTGGCGGTGGCTCGGTGCGCACTGAAGAACGCTGGAATGATGGAGGTGTAGTACCCGAAGACCGACTCGAAGGTCTTGATCGGGTCTCGCAACAGCGTGATGAAGACCGTGTTCTGGGGCATAACCTTCCTCACCTCCCTCAGGTCCAAACGCATGTGACTGCAAAGCAAGTTGAACTGAGATGAACCCTCAGGCAGCTCGTCCACAAACGCCGCTCTGAATCTGAGACCGAGAGAGAGCGAGAGTGAAGAACTTGTTTGGATTAAAGCTCATTAGGTGTTTAATGGTCTGAAGAGGGAGCTCAAGAATACATTGTTAATGACTGACTGAATGACTTGATCCATCCACCCTACACTCTCGGAAAAGGTACAAAAGCTGTCACTGTAGCAGTACCCTTTCAAAAAAGTTACACCTTTGTACTTTCATTTACCCCTAAAGGGTGCCATTTAGTAGGGTATCGCCCCATTGACAACTTTTGTACCTTTTTTCAGTGTAGTGAAATATGATTTTATAGGCAGTGTTTTTTAAGGTAAATTTTGGGGCGCCATCCATTGGCGTTTGTTTACGATCGTATTTTGGCGACCTAGCATGGGTAGCTAAATTATGAATATCATTAAGACTGATTAGCATGGGAGTAACTAATTTGTTTGCAATCGCGGGCCCCCCAGAGGACATCGTTATGGGCCCTGTAAGTATTTCATTGTATTACAGTTGTGTTTTGGAGGCTTTTATGGATTTATCTTTTCTTAAATTGTCATTTGGTGCCCTAGATTGATCAACATGGTCCAATAGACTCATATTTTTCTCCTCCTGTTGTCTTTGACCCAGAATATTATCTAGTGAAGAGTTTGCAGCTGCCTGCGACCAAAGACGGCAGCAGAAGGTCATGCATTTCCAGAAGATCCTGCACCAAACCGCCTCTGAGATGAATGGGAACAGGTAATGCAGACCTGAGTACTCTGACTAACATGTAATTAAACTGAAACATTGTTGGAAACGTGATGTGTATTATGCATTGTGCTCATTTTACCTGTCTGGGTAGTTAAACTGGTACGTGCGGGAGGGAAAGGCAAAAGTGGCGCCCTCTCGTTCCCCGAGTCGAAACAGGATGTTCTGCACGGTGCTGCTGCCGGTCCGGTGTGTTTTCAGGAAGACCATGGGTGGATGTGCTCTCTGCCACTCGGCTCTGGCTGTCGGTGTGTGTTTGGGCGGTTGGTGTGTGTTTGGAGTGAGTGGTGATGTGTGTTTCCCAGCAGCTCTTCTCTGGTTCCTTCTGTCTGCTGTAGGTCTCAGTTCATAGGTTCTGTCGAGGAAACTTCAGGTTAGACGCCTTCTCCTCTGTCAGCTGACCAGATTTCTTTCTTTCTAATCTTTTCTTTGAACCATATTAAATTGCATCACTGACATGAGTATTAGCAGAAACTGTTTATATGATGACTCAGAAAGCACCAACAATAGAACGCACAAACGTGCATTACATGCATAAGCGTGTTAAGTGCACTTGCATACAGATATAAGGGATACAACAGATATAAGGGATGTTAGTTTTCTCAGCAGAAATTGACTTCAGTGAGCAAGTAACACACAATTAAATGTCATCATAAGCATTTAACACAAAACCAGGCCAGATTGCTGTCAAGGCATATTTGAGAATCCAAATGACCTGTTTTGTGGTGAACTTTCCTGTGTGGTTTCCTAGTGAACACCTCAATTCAGAAAACAGCTTTTGCATCAACCAAAGGAAACCATACCACATGATGTGCACCTTGTGTTGAGAAAACCATTTAAACAACCTTCAAACCTAATTTTAATTAAATAGAATTTGGTCTAGATCTACTTTTAAAAAGTTCTTAGATAGCTGTCCGTTTTAACCTTCAGTGTTTATCATTGAGAAACTATAATAGTTTTTAATATTATATGTAACCCCTCTCTCCCGGGTCCTCACCGCCACACCTTGTTCTTGTTCCGCGTGGGTCTTGGGCATGGGAGGTGGACGCACTAACAAGGAGGCTAAAGTCTGCAGCCTCTAGCATCAGTCGCTAGTGCGTCTCTTGAGATCAAAGGAGTGAGGTTTACCTGCACAGCACCTACTCACTGGCCTCCGTTACACTCACCCCTCTAAGCCTCACTCCCATCCGGGTCACGGCACCAATGTAACCCCTCGAGGAGTGAGGTTTACCTGCACAGCACCTACTCACTGGCCTCCGTTACACTCACCCCCCTAAGCCTCACTCCCATCCGGGTCACGGCACCAATGTAACCCCTCTCTCCCGGGTCCTCACTGCCACAGCTCGTTCTTGTTCCAAGTGGGTCTCAAACCTGGGTCTCCGGCATGGGAGGCGGACGCACTAACAAGGACGCTAAAGACTACAGCCCCTAGCGTCAGTCGCTAGTGCATCTCTTGAGATCAGGGGAGTGAGGTTTACCTGCACAGCACCTACCAGCTGGCCTCTGTCACACTGTTCTGCAATGCACATATTTATATCTTTATGTAACTAAAATAAATTATTTTATTACAAGGACTTACAATATGATACATCCTCTTAGGACCTTTCAAGTTAAGTTTCACTCTCATTCTCTCATCTTGATGGCTTGTTTCTCAGCTAAGCCAAGCAACAAGTTTCTTTCTCGCCAGATTTTGTAGTCTAGATTTTTGTACGTGCAGAGATATGCATACACTAACTGAAGTCTGTATGTGTTTACCTGCATAGCACCTACTCGCTGGCCTCCGTTACATATATAAAACTATTATAAACTATAATAATAATAGTTTTCTCAAGTTGAACTAAATGAGAAACGCTGCCTTTGCAACTAGCTGTAAAAAATACGTTTTGTTTTTGGGTATATATATATTTTATTTTATTTTATTTCAGTTAATGATTTTATGATTCAAGTTTTAGTTAACTATAATGCATTGAAAGTCACTTTGGATAAATGCATCTGCCAAATGTGTATAGTATTAAGAAACTATTATGGTTTTTATTAATATTTTGAATGCATTTTTATATTTTCCCTTGTTTTCTTGTTAATTCTAGTTTTTGGTTGTTATTTGTATTACTTTTTGGTTTTATTTTTTAAATATGTCTATAAGGTTTCTAGTAATTTTTGTTGTATTAAGTAGTATTATAGTATAAGTTAAACTAAATTAAAATAAGTTAAGTTTTTCTCTATTTTATTTCATTTCAGTTAAAGTTTATCTTATTTCAAGTAACAAAATTATTGTTTTAGTTTTAATTAACCATCAACCTGACGCTCTATTGATGCCAGGATCATGGGTTCGAATCCTTGAAGTTGCTTTGGATAAAAGCACCTGCCAAATGCAAAAGTAAACATGTCTAGTTTAGTATTCTACTAGCTAAAGTCTCTCACCTGTTGGTCTGTAGTGAGTGTGTGGCCAGGAGCGTGAGGAGCAGTAAGAGCGCTAACACCAGCAGTAAAGCGCTCACCCGGTGCCTCCACAGCCAGCGCAGACCCATCTCCACAAACACAAGCCTCTGTGGAGCTGCTGAACTGTCAGCGGTCTGTCTGTGATGTGAGGATTGTGAGGGCAGGATGGCCTCCTCTCACCCGTTTAATCCTGTAGGCCGGATCAGAGAAACAAACACACACACACACACACACACACACACACACTGATGCTTCTCACAGCTTCTGTCAGTCCTCCACACAGCACTTTAGATTCATTATAAGTACTGTCACAGCAGTCTGTGTTATGTTTTGTTTCAAGTGCCATTTCAAACAGGTTGCCATGGGTTAGTTAACGTGATCTAGTTGAGCCCCCGCTGGTAGATGCTGTAACTACACCTTTATGAGGGCAAAAAGCATCTGTTTCCTTTCAGAAATCCACGTTTGGGTTTTCTGCAGGTCTTAAAAAGTAAAAAAAAAAAGTCTTATTCGCCTTACAGAAATTAAGATATTCTAAAGCTCTCAAATCAGAGCAGAACGTCTTAAACTCACACCCCCGGTTTCACAGACAAGGCTTAAGCCTAGTCCTAGACTAAAATGCAAGTCTGAAGCTGTTTCAACTGAAAGAAACTTGCACTGACTGATCTTAAAATATATCAGTGCCTCTGTTTTGTCTCAAGATGCACACCAGTAATGTGTTTTCCAAGGCACGTTTATGAAAAATTACTTAAATGTCCTAATTGAACTATGGCCTAATCCTGGCTTAGTCTAAGCCCTGTCTGTGAAAGCAGGCCATAAAGTAACATCCTTAATTCAAGATACAGATGCAAAATGTAGACATGAAGTCTTGTTTTCTGAGAAACTGAACCAATGTTATGCTTAAAACAAGAACAAATATGACAACTAGTTTTCCCTTTGAATTAAGTTGTTTTTGCAGATTCCATTAGTAGATATTTGTTCTTGTTTTAATCATAAACTCACTTCATGTGATCAATTTCACACGTCATTTTGTTTCTCAAGCAAATGTATCTTGATTTAAGAATCTTTAGACATTTGCACTGAAAAAAAGAACATAATGACAAATCACGTTCCTTTAAATAGGTCTTAAATATACCTTCTTAAAGCCTGCAGAAACCCTGCGTGAATTCTGATGACACATGTCTTCCAAATATTTGTCTTTATATTGTAGATGTTTTAGTGCCTGGCTCTTTACAGAGACTCACAGCTCAGGATAGCTGAATTAAAGTGTTTCAAATATCACTTCAAACGAGAACAGAATCATACATTCAGTGGTTTTTCAAAGTGTGCATCTGTGTATGCTGATATTTCCCACAATCCTACACTACAGAAGAGTTTAAGATGGTTCTCAGTGAATTTTTCCAGTTTAACTGGTTTATTAGTTTGTTCACTGTGTTATTGTTACTTGTATGCAAATGACACGCTTTTATTACATCATATAAGGAATGATGAATATTGATCAGTGGCGTCCTCTAGTGGAGGGGAGTTATCTCAGCATCACACTCCTCTCTTTCATGAGTAATTGTGCACATGTTCCTGTGTTTATTTGTCAATGTAAAGCAGGAGCGACGAGTCTCATGCCGTAAATGCTACTCTGTTATTAAATAAGATAATTGCATGTTTTTTTTTTACGAGAAATGGCAGGTATGCATGTCAAGTGCACGTATGCAAATGAAGATTCTTCTCTTAAACTATTTCTTACTCCGACGCTTAATTAGGAATTCCGGCGAAACTCTTCAGTTGACTTCCTTCAGTTGACTTTGATGACACAGTCTAGTTGTTTTGGTTTTATTTGGGTCATTTTATTGCCTGTGAAGAACATAGGTAGTTTTTCTCCCTGAAGTATAGGCCTATTAATAGAAAGTATACTGGTGGTAACACTTTACAATAAGGTTCCATTAGTTTTAATGTTAGTTAATGTATGAACTAACATGAACAATACATTTATTACAGTATTTATTCATCTTTGTTCATGTTAGTTCATGAAAATACAGTCGTTCATGTTAATTCACAGTACATTAACTAATGGTAACAAATACAACTTTTGATTTTAATAATGCATTAGTAAATGTTGGAATTAACACTAACTAAGATTAATAAATGCTGTAAAAGTACTGTTCATTCTTAGTTCAACTAATAAACCTTATTGTAAAGTGTTACCAGTATATTTTGGATAAAGAAAATGAAGCTCATTTTTTGACCATTACATTTTTTTTTTAAATGAATTAATTTTTATTTTGTTGATTTTTTATTTATTTTTTAATAAAATTTAAGATCATTTTACTCTCAAATTTTCATGACTGCAATGCACAAAATTATTTAAATCATCACTGATATATATAAGTTCCCTTTCAGTCAGCCACGTTCGACGTTACGTCAGTCGTGGCTGACGAATTGGGATCTTGCCCGAGAGACCAATCACCTTCGAGTGTTAACTAAACAAGCCAGTGACAGTTGGCGTGCGTGTTTCGCCACGCGCACCCCGCCCCGCAGCGCTGGTATAAAAGGAGAGCGCGTGCAAACGCACATCAGCTTTTCGCTTCGGAGCCGAGCCTTCTACAAGACAAATCTCCGCGAGTGTTTTGAAAAACAGCTGGCGTTGGTGTTACGGCGTGTCAGCGGGGGTTGCCATCCAGGCTGCTGAAACCTCGGCGAGCTGCAGCTTTCATTATG